TTACACTGCTAGTGTTAAAGGTTATTATTCAATGCAAGATGATCACAATGATTGAAATTTCTTCCTCGACCACGACGGGGCCACAACCTTTTTCACGCCTAGATTGGTGAAAATTTGCTGTATTTACTTCAGGAAATGACATAGAACCAGTAGGTCAACTTTCAAGGTTTTTCATCAGTAAGTCATTATGTTGTTCAACAACAAGGAGTTGTGAAATTAATTTGGAATAATTTTTAAATCCAATTTGTCGGCATTGCTGCTGCAAAAGCATACTCGAGGTAGGAAAAGTGGAAAACATTTTTCCCAGCATATCATGGTCAGTGATATTTTCTCCACATAATTTTAATTGTGAGATAATTTTAAACACGGAAGAGTTATAATCACTGATAGATTTAAAATCTTGAAGTCTCAAGTGGATCAAGTCATAACGTGCATGTGGAAGGACGACCAACTTCAGGTGGTCATATCTATCTTGTAAATTGTTCCACAACACAAAGGATCCTTAACAGTGAGATATTCTATTTTCAAACACTCATCAAGGTGATGATGGAGAAATATCATCGCCTTAGCATGGTTTTGATTCGATGCTTGATTATTTTCTTGGATGGTGTCTGCTAGACCCATCACATCAAGATGAATTTCTGCATCGAGTGCCCATGATAGATAGCTTTTTCCCGATATGTCTAGAGCAAGAAACTCAAGTTTAGAAAGATTAAACATTATTTAAGAAAATGAAATTTATACCTCCGAAGCTTTTAAAGTCTTTACTTGAACTGACAGAGACTCGTGCTGATAACGTATTATAAAATCAAGCTCATAAGAATATAATCATAAAGAGAAAAAGACAACAGAAGTAGGTAGAAGAAGAGGAAGTTTCTTCTTATTCAAGCATATGTAAGTTTCATATGTAAATCATACAATAGTGAATGAACAACCCTATTCATAGAGTGACAAATCACTCCAAAAGTGGTGTATTAAGTATCATAATAAATAGATACATTCTTATCTAAAAAGGTTCATGAAACCTAGTGAATAGGAATGGTTGTTCATGTACTAACTTTATGGACTATCCACTTATTCAATGGATTTATAACAAAAATGATTAAGTGACAAAAAATCAATACTAATTTTGAAGAAGCACACACGTTTTTTATTACTTTTACCATTAGAAGTTTTTTTTCATCATTTATTTTCAACATTAATTACTTATTTCATAGATTATTTTTCAAAATTTAAGATTATATATCCGTTAATATGGAAATTATGACAAGATAATCATATTAAATATTAATAAAAGAAGTGTGAAATTAATAATAAGGAACTTTCACATATAATTACTCAAAAATAACTTAAGTATTCGTCATAGCTATAATTTGATAGTAAATATTCGTAGTTACATGTTAAAGGAAGGAGAGAGGCAAACAAAACTGGGAGAGAGGAGAGAGGCGAGCGAGATTGGGAGAGGAAAGAGAGAGGGCATAGAATGAGAGAGTTGAATTATGTATATATATTGGTTAGATAATTGTATTTTTTACATATATATTTGTATATATGACAAGCAAGATTGGGAGAGGGAGGAGAGAGGGCGATCGAGAGAAACAAGGAAGACAGTGGGAGAGAGGTGAATGTATATGTATATCGGTTAGATAATTGTATATTATACATATGTATTTATATATTATAGATAATTTATTATATACAAACTATTGATATAATGAGCAACTAAATAGTATAAATTTACTTAATTGAGTAATTTTTCCAATTAAAATTAAGCAAATAAGAATAAATGGAAAAAGCATAAAATATAAATGGGCCCATAAAAAACTTTCATGGTCTAGCTTACGAAAGATCCTAAAAGGCAAGGCCCATAAAAAACTTTCATGGTCTAGCTTATGAAAGATCCTAAAAGGCAAGTTTATAATTAAAATTTTAAGTGGATCTCACATTCTTTCCATTAAATGAACAAATATGAGCTAAATGTAAATGGGGCATTCAAGGGGAATAAGCAAACAACACAAGCAGACGTGTTGACAGTCTGCTGCTTGCTATTCCTCTTTCCATTAGTAATAATTACACTAAATTAAGCAAGTTCAAGCCATAGATAATAATAATACTAAGTTTTTCTTGATAACTATGAAAAAAATACAAAAAAATAAAAATCCAAATACAAAGCCCTCAGGGGACATACCTGATAATCACAAAGAATTACAATGAAAAAAAAATTGATTGCCTTGGCTCGCAAATTCATTTTTTCACATGCATAAATATATATAGTTTTTAGTAAGAATGTTTTTGCCTTTTCAAATTCACATGCATATTGGACAAATTAGTAGAAGTTAAAAGAGGTAGTATTGAATACATCAATTGACCATTAACATACCGTTACTTGCAATTTTTGTAACTTTTTCAATTCTCAATAATTTGGTCATCATGACTAAACAAAATTTTTGTCTATTCATTTATTATTAAAAAAAGAAATATCTATTAAAATCATAGAAATTTTATTTTTTATAAAAATATATATTTTATTAATTATATTATTGTAGTAACTTAACTTTATAGGGTTATTTTGATATTTCAACTTTTTACTTTTTTTTGTTCCCACTTATATATATATATATATATATATATATATATATATATATATTGATATTTCAACTTTTTACTTTTTTTTGTTCCCACTTATATATATACACACACACACACACACACACACCCCACTTAAAAATAATTAGTTACTCTCTATAGCTATAGTTTGATAATTACAATTTGTAGCTACATATTATTTGAAGGAGAGAGGCAAGCGAGACTGTGAGAGAGAGGAGAGAGACGAGAGAGGGGGAAAAGATTGGGAGAAAGGTGAATTGTATATGTATATTGGTTAGATAATTGTATGTAATTGTATATATGACAAGAGAGATTAGGAGAGGAGGAGAGAGGCGAGCGAGAGAGAGAAGGAGAGAGGAGAGCGAGAGAGGGCAGAGAGTGGGAGAGAGGTGTATTGTATATGTATATAGGCTAAAAAATTATATTTTATACATATTTATTTGTATATCCTGGTGAATTATACATATACAAACATGGCTAATTATACAAACTCGAAGTCAGCCCACGTAATTAAGAGAGAGCGAGATTGGGAGAGGGAAGAGAGAGAGAGCAAAATTGAGAGAGGAGGAGAGAGGAGAGCGAGAGAGGGCAGAGAGTGGGAGAGAGGTGTATTGTATATGTATATAGGCTAAAAAATTATATATTATACATATTTATTTGTATACTGTGAATTATACATATACAAACATGACTAATTATACAAACTCGAAGTCAGCCCACGTAATTAATGTATAATGTTAATCGCGAGTGATAATTATAGCAAACTATAGCTATGATGAGTAATTAAATTGTATAAGTTTGCTTATCCACGTAATTTCTCTCTCTCTCTCTCTCTCTCTCTCTCTCTATATATATATATATATATATATATATATATATATAAATCTATGATACTCAATAGTCTACCCCGTAAAATTTTGACCTTTCTCCAGCATATTCTAGAAGCATCAACATCCTTCTTATTAGAGTTGCAAAAATCGATCAGCCCAAGCTTCGTGGGCCAAAAATTTGAAGAGTTAGGATGATTCGGCCTTTCATTTAAAAGGGTCTTGAATTTACCAACCCAACTCAAACCTAGGAGGGTTGTGAGCTAGCTTACTTTTTCATGTTCTTATAATTTTGTTAGTGTGATAGTTCTTAATTGACCCACACTCGACCCCATGCATAAATATGTAGCTAGTCGAACCATCACTTTGTAAGGAGAAAAAAGGCAGCTTTCCTAATTTTTGCAGGATGAGACAAGTACCAATTTAAAATATTCTAACAAAAGGAGAAGCAAGACATTACACAACTATAATACATAAATAATGTCGATTCTTTGTTAGATAATCCGTTTACAATATTCATCATTCTATATTACTGATTATTTTCTTATTCAACTTATAAGAATAATTACTCACAAGTAATACTTTTTAATGTTATTTTTTCATATATTTGGTTAAGTTCATATTTAGCAATGATTGTTCCGCGCTCTTAGGGGATCAATATAAGAAGTTAGTAATATCCAATGTTATTTTCCGATGGTAAAAAAGAAAAAGAGAGACATTGATATGATTACCAGCTTGATGTACAAATTAAATAAGGCTAAAATTCTTTTCACACTACAAAAAAAAAGTGTTTAGTGACGGCAACAATCCGTCACTATATGAAGAAAATCCGTCACTAATCATGATTAGCGACAGATTAGCTACAGAATATTGACTATTGCTATTATGCTCGTCAGTAAACTCTTAATGACGAAAAATTAGTTCCGTCACAAATTTGGCGACGTCCTAGTGACGAACAACGTCCGTCGCCACAACGTAGCAACAAAAAGATTCGTCATTATATTTATACAATTTTGTTGCTAATTTCATAATTCTATGACAAAAAAATGATGTTTCGTCTCAATTTTAGCGACGTCATAGAGACGAAACATTTCCGTCGTAACATGTTAGCGACAGAAAGATTCGTTATTATATTTATATAGTTTTGTTGTTAATTTCATAATTCATTTAGTTATTTCGCAACAAAATTTCCGTCGCAACATATTTTGTGACAACATATTAGGCCTTTAATAATTCATCATTGATCCGTCGCCAACATTCTTTTTACAACAATGACCAAATAGTAGCTAAATTTGTTGCTAAAATTATTCTTATGGACTGCTGAAATATATTCAATCAAAATTACTAAATACTCCAAAATTAACAAACATTCATATAATATAATACTCATAAACAATTCATAATATATAAATAGAGAACTCCAAAACAACATATTTCTGGTTAAAATATACAAAAACAAAACTATCAACTGCTATGAAATAAACTCATGTTCATCAAAATATTACTACGCGCAATTTCTAATTTCCAAAAAGTATGACATTATCAAAAACTGAAGCTGTGGAGGTATTAACTTGAAATAGAGGTATCAACCTCATCCATATTACTAGCAACAGACATGGGTGCCACAGACGATGGATTGCCGGATGGATTAATCGATGCTTTCACCTGCTCAACAATAATAGGAACAAGATGACTAGTTAGTGCAGACATCATTTTCTTTACAAACTCGTCCATATTTGTTGTCGATGTTGATTGAGAAAATGGATGAGGTAATAATGATGACCCACAAAGTTTCTGCCCATAGTAACTTTTTGCTTCAGATCCAAGACCATATATTCTTCTTTTCTTTTCTCCTCCCGCAGCTTGGTAATATGCTTCATATTGATCAATATCAGTTTCAGACAATGTTTTTTTCTTTAATATTTCTTCATATTTTCCTATAATAAGTAGAGAAAATGAGAAAACAATAATGACATGGAACAAACCAAATTTTTAAGAAAAATGCAAAAAATAGACAAAATAATGCTCAGTACAATGTAGAGAGTGGCAGAGACACTAAGAATAAAGATGTCCTTTACAGTTAAATTTGGTACTATTCCATATGATCCTTTAAAATATACCAGCTGCTACAAAGACAAAGTAGTATATCCGAGTGCAAGATGAGGCATCTCTGTGAAACTGAGCAAACTGGTAGAAATAAAAAACTTCACAAGTTGACTAGAATGGAATTCATAGATGTGTAGACCATTTGTCTGGAATTTGATATATCCTCTAAGAGAACTTATCAATACCTCTATTTAGTGTAGCAGTTGTTGTGTCTGTGGTAATAAACAATGGGTAGCCAATTAATTGCTAATAGCATGCACCCCAAGAGAAGATCATGTCACAGACAATGACAATGGGTAGCCAAGTAATTGCTAAGAGCATCCACCCCAAGAAGAGAAGATCATGTCAAGAGAGTTATCTCTTATTACAATACCACACAGACAATGACACTTTTGGAAGCTAGAGTCACTATAAAACAACAGTAAAATCACACAAAAAAATAGTAAAAAGTTGCACCAAAAAAGCCTCAAAACAATGGCAGTAGTTTCCTTTTAAAACGATACTAGAATTGCATCCTAAAGTCTCAAAACATCATTAGAACTGTACCAAATAGCATCAACAAATACACTTTAAAACAGTAAAGAAGTGCACCATAAATTGAAGTAGGAAAGAACCGAAACACCTCCAAATTTTAGACTTACATGGATATCTCGAGAACGCTCACCAACAAATGTTTTTCCATCATGTCCATGTGTATGAACATGCAGATGTAACTCACTTGGCGTGGGATCTCGACCTTTTCTAATAGCCTATACAAAACAAAACACGTTATTTATGTCATATAAGAGAAGATATTCATAATAGAGTTTGTAGAATATATATATATACTCACAAGTTTCTTGCGATGTTCTCCGATAGAAATAGAGACACCAGTGTGAGTCCCAACAGCAGTTTCACGACCGCCACGATGATTTTGCGAATTCTGATTTCTTAATAGACTCTGGACTTCCCCAATGCTCCATCCATCTTTCCCATACATCTTCTAGTAAGTAACCTGACCTAACTCCTCCTTTTTTTATTTTAGAAATGAAATTCCTATAGTTCAATGCTGCCTTAACCATCCATTGTGTTTTGACTTTGTTTTCACTATTGGAAACATCCCTGCAGAACTTTTTCTGAAACAAGCTTTGAAAGTAGTACATTAATGTCCTATCTATATATGTGAATATACTTGCTAAAATCACTTACGATGAAAACTTATACCTTAAATTATCCAAAATAACCATTTCTTACATCATTTGGAACACCTTTCCAATTGATTTCATTGGGATCAACCTCACTTTTGAAAGATTTGTATATGAAACTAGAGCATATTAAGAAGGTTTCAGTCTGTATAAATTAGAAGAGGTTATTAGGAGGGCTATCATAAATCAGAATTCAAAGACAACAAGCGTCATCAACAAAACAAGTAGGAATAAACATCCGATGACAGCCAAGCCAAGATGTTTCCCTACCATGGGTCAATCTAAATGATTTTCTTTCCTCCATACAATAGGGACATGCAAACTTACCTGCAGTACTCCATCCTGATAACATAGAATATGCTGGAAAGTCACTGATTGTCCACATCAAAGATGCCCTTAGTTGAAAGTTTTGTTTTTTTGAGATGTCAAATGCTTGCACGCATGTCTCCCACAACAAAGTCAATTCTTTTATTAGAGGATGCAAATAAGCATCAATTTTATGTTTGGGATTGTTTGGCCCTAGAACAATGACTGTTATGAACATATAAGCTTCTTTCATACACATTCCTGGAGGTAAATTATAAGGTGTGACAATCATTGGTCATGACGAGTATCTACTCCTAGATTGACTAAATGGTTGGAAACCATCAATACATAATCCCAATCTTACATTTCTTGGTTCATTAGCAAAAAAAAAAGTATAAGTTTCATTGAAGTGTTTCCAAGCCACAGAGTCTGATGGATGACACATTATACCATCCTCTTTTGTATGCTCGTGATGCCATCTCATGTAAGCAGCTGTAGCATGAGATGCATACAATCTTTGAAATCTAGGAATCAAAAGAAAATAATACATTTTCTTGTAAGGGATCAATTTCCTCTTACGAGAGACAACACGGCACTTGTATCTATAATGTCCACAAAATGTACAAGATGTAAGGTGTTTATCATCACCCCCAATACAAAATACATCCTGATTTACAGCGATCAATCTTTTCAAATGGCAAACCCAAGGTACGCACTAGCTTCTTAGTCTGATAGTATATATCAAGCACTATGTTATCTTCAGGTAGCCTCTTTCAACAATTGCATCATTTGGTTATAACCTCTCTGTTACATGTTGTTCTCCATTTTAATATTCAACATTCGAGAGACAACAACAAGTTGAGAGAGGGAAGAATCGGGATATAATTTTGCATCAACTGCTTGTAGCAATCATATAATTTTTTAGACTCGGGGTTAGGATCTTCCCCCATTGAAGGTTCACAAGGATGAGACGACTTGTCAACAGTATTGCCAAAAGATTGCCAACTTTGAACCTTGGGAAAGTTAGGACCAGCTGCATCTAAAATCATTTGAACCAGCTGCATCTAAAATCATTTGACGGTATGGATTATCATATCCTAATTGAGGTAATTAGCACCACCATTCAAATCTTGATCAGAAGAAATCTCACCAATCATATTTTTTTCTCCTTGATGTTTCCAGATAAAATAGTTATCAACAAATTTAGATTTATAACATCCATGAACCTAAAGTTGTGACATTTTTTACATGGACATCTAACTTTATTTCCACTCATCCGATTTTGTTGCAAACATGCAAATTGGATAAATTTATCCACTCCAATCACAAAATTATAATTTATAGCCCCTTGACCATCCAACCTATCATACATCCAATTACGCTCTAGAATATTCATGTTCCTAATAAAGTTTGAATTTACAAGAATAAAAAATTAGTAACAAGCACAAACTGTGGACCAGAAGGTACTCTCATTCACATTCATCAAATACTAACAAAACATGCATTTAGGCAAAACAAAAATAATTTCTACAGTTATTCACTATGCAGACTTAGTCCCACAAAATTGATGACAAACAAAAGGTATTGAAGCATTACAATTGAAAAGAAAGCATCATCAACAGTAGCAAAACTGAATGTAAAACATAGGCTTACAGACAATAAAAATGAAGAACATAGATTTTACGACATAGCGAAGAGTAGTCACCTAAAATAGATTCAAACAAAAAAGAACAAATAAGCATCAATACTATATACTAAATAATAAAAGCCAGCTTTCACATTAATATGAATCAACAAAATCCATTAAGAACCCATGTATAGCAAATTAAATTCATTAATTATCATCTACAAACAACAGTGATATAACAACAACAGACTAGCGAGGCATATCATGAATAGAACAAGAGGCATATCATGAATAGAAGAAGACGAGGAGAAGATTACAGAGGAAAGGTTACCTTTCTCCAGACAGTGTCAAGGCAATGACTAGACAGTGAAAAGCTTGGAGACTTCTTGTCAATGTTATTTCGAGATATTGAGAATTTAGTCAAGAAAAGTAGAAGCAAGCAAGGTTAGAGTAAAAAAAATCTGAAAAATTTTCAAAATAAAAAATTAGAGCAAAGTAGAAGAAAACAACAGTAACAAAAGAAAGTAAAAATATTAAAAACTATAGTTAACTCAATCCTTTCAACACTAAAAGAAAAGACACAAGGAAAACACATACATTTCATCGAGATCATGATAAAAGTTTATAGCTAACAGATAAAATCTTTAGAAAATAATGTACCAAACAACAAGTGTTGAAGCTTCTACTAACAATATCATAAGAAGAGACTAAGAACAATAGAAAATCTCTTCTTTTGCTAATGAACGTAAAAGCTAATTTAAGCTATTGAAACGCCTCATTCTCATCTCATATCTCACTGTGAATGCTAAAGTAGGCAGAGCACACACTCTTATCTTAAAACATCATTGACATATATACTCATCATTAAAATCTAATTGCTAAATCATGTCAATACCTATTTATCTTTTTGGGATTCTCTTTTTCTATTAACTTTTAACAAGTTATATCTGTAAGATTTGTTAAGCTACATGCAATTCTTAAAGAGAACATACAATAAATAAATACAAGTATCTTATAATGTGTACATAATTATTAACAAGTATCATTTTATTTTTGAAAGACTGGTTACAAGTTTTAGGTGTTGAAGCAGAATAAGAACTTCTATCGGAAGTGATTTTATCGGCGATTTTTCTTTGTGTTAGAGTGCGTTTAGTAGACAATGTGGTTTATAAATATGTCTAACATCACGTATCCAAGAAAATTTAAAGAAGACTATAATGTTCTTCACTGATAACCCCATCCCGTTTTCCCAATTATTTTTCACCAAATAGAAGTCAAAACCCTCCTCTTCACCGCACTAGAAGCTCACCGAACATATGAAAAAAGAGAAATTACCAAAGGTAGAAGCTCACATTTCACCTGAAGATGAAGGAAACATGAGCAATTTCACTTTGAACCTGAGACTGAAACAATTTCACCTGAGATGGGAGCAATCAAAAGGAGTGAGAGATGAGAGAAATCAAAAGGAGAAGGAGACCAGAGAAATTAATTTCTTACCTCAAGGAGACCGGTGAAAGGTGACGGAGACCAGAGAATTCTTAACTCAGTTGCTGCGCAGTTCTTGGAACTTTTCATAGAGAGATAAAACCCTACATTTAAGGGATTGTAATTTTGTTTCCTTTTTGTGTAAAAATTATTGAAAGGAACTTAGCGACGGATTCTGATATTCGTCGCTATAAATAAAAATAATTATTTACATTAATTTTATAGATAGAAATTTCCGTCAATACGTAATTTAAAGTCCATAAAAATATATTTTACATTCTAGCAACACTTTTCCGTCACTAATTCCGTTGCAATATATTATTGAATTTATAAAACTTACTTTGTTGCGAAATCTGTAGCAAAATTTAAGGCGCCAAAGTTTCCCGCTATTATTTGGCAACAAAAAACATATTCCGTCGTCAATTCGTTGCTCTATTTTAACTCAAAAAAATATTTGTAAATTTTACAACGAAATGACTACTTCATTGCTAATCCATAGTTATATAGCAACGTAATTAATTCCGTCGCTAATATCCGTCGCTAAATACTATTTTTTTTGTAGTGTCAGAAAAAAGAAAAATAATAATTTTAAACGTGAACAAAACAAAAATATGATGTCATATTCTTGACTTTGAATTAATTAGTCTAACAAACAAAAGAGGTAAAAAAAATCATTAACAAAAAATGAAACAGTAACCACCAATTAGTGGAATGATTCATCAAGAGACCTACCAAGTCTTACATGGATTTGGAGTTATAGATGCAGAACCCGCCGTGAGATTTTCACCTTTAGCCAAGGGCTTTCTAGGAATCAATGTAATCAGATGTCTCAAGGATAAGAGGTGCACCCCATCAGAAGATTTTGTGTCCATATATTGACCTCCTCGCACTATACAAGTACACCAATCATGTTTCAAGGATCGGAACATTTTACCATTATTAGCGTTGCAAAAATAGGTCAGCCCAACTCAGATCCATCCATCCCAAGCTTCGTGGGCAAAATATTTGAGGAGTTAGAGTGATTCGGCCTTTCATTTGAAGGGGTCTTGAAATGACCAAGCCAGCCCAACACTGGGAGGGTTGTGAGCTAGCTTACTTTTCACTTTCGTATAATTTTAGAGTGTGAGAGTACTTAGTTGGCATACACTCTAACCCATGCACAAATATATGACTTGTCTAACCACCACTTTGTAGAAGAAAAAAAAAGGGCATCTTTCCTAATTTTTGCCAGGAAGAGACAAGTACCAATTTAAAATATTCTAACAGAAAGAAAAGTGAGATATTACACAACTATAACATATAAATGTGTTGATTCCTTGTTAGATAATCCGTTATAATATTCACATTCTTTATTAATAATATTTTTTTAATTCAACT